ATAATTCTCACAGGTCCATTTTTACAGACGGGTCCAAGGATGGTGGCAAAGTTGCAAGTGCCACCGTCATTGGATCCAGAACTGTCTCCTCAAGAATACCAGATACTAGTTCAATTTTTACTGCTGAGGCCAAAGCTATCTTTACAGCTTTGACCTATATCAAACATCAAAACCAATCCAAAAATTTCATCATTTTCTCCGATTCATTATCATGCCTTCAGGCACTTAAAAGTATCTCCTCAAATCATCCTTGACATTTTAGAACTCTATAATGATCTTTCTACTGGCCAATGTGACATCGTCTTTTGCTGGTTACCAAGTCATGTAGGCATAACAGGTAACTCAAAAGCCGATACTGCAGCTAAAGCAGCTCTTGAAAAACCGTTGTCTCCACTCTTTATCCCGTACAGTGATTTCAAACCAACCATCAAATCTTATACTCGGGATCTCATGCAAAAGAGGTGGGACACCCAAGTAGGAAGCAATAAACTACACGAATTGAAACCAACAATCGGTCGTAACTACTTGGGTTGTCAGTCAAGACATGACGAGATCGTTTTACGACGGTGTCGTATTGGCCACAGTCGGTTTACACACGAATATCTGCTGAAGACAGATGAGGACGAACCTCCTAAGTGTATCCCTTGCGATGAAAGGTTCACCGTCAAGCATATATTGCTTGACTGTGTGGACTTTGCAATCGCAAGGGATTCACATTATCAAAGTGTAAATCTAAAAGATCTCTTTTCCCGTGTCAACGGGCATCTCATCATAAATTACTTGAAAGAAATTGGTCTGTATAATAAATTTTAAATATGTATGTGAATAATTAAATGCTTGTTTTTAAATTTGGTGTAATGCTATTAGCAACTGACATTATTAAAGGCTCTGTCCATAAATTGTGTATATATTAGCTTGGTCTCGTCGCTATATGGCTGAAATAATGCCGATGCGACGTTAAATTTTAACTCACTCACACTTCTGACGTCAGTCTGTTCAATAATAGAGTCTGTACCACACTATCAAGTGATTGACATCATGAGCATCGGTCTTCGCGATTGGGATTCGATGACATGCATCAACCAAGTCAGTGCGCCTGACAGCCCGATCCGTTAGTCGCCTCTCAAGGCAAGGTGTGAATGACATTCTTTATCAGTAAAAGAGTAGTTGAAGAGATATTTTTCGTTTCCACATTCATGAACTAGAATGAAGTAAATGGCATGTGGCAGGAACATTATATCCCCCGGCAATCAAATTCATGAAATGCTTGTCAAACTTACCAGCCCACATTGGTATCCTCTCAACGCAGGCGAACGCACCTGTCTACAGTTTGTCCAAGTCTAAATAAAACCCGTCTAAAGCCGCTTCCCTACAGGGTTTTGTCCGCCATGAGTCGGAGGGACTGTAGTGCACGTGCGTGGGCACGACTTCCACGTGGTTTAAAATTGACGCGACACACTGGGAGATGGAGCAGGACAGCACTTTTCATTCATGTACACCATATTTCATGTCTATTGTTGCGGCATTAAACAACAACCAACCACCAGCCAGTAAAATGGAGAGTAAAACCTATTTTTGAGTCTTTTTTGTTTTGTTATGAATTAATTATGAAGTGTTAGTTTCTTCAGAATGTGTTTACTTACTGAAATGGTCTTTGATTTTGAATACTAGTAGATTTACTCAGATCTTAAAATGTGTGTGGGCCCACCTCGAAAAATCTCTATAGATCTATTTTAAAAAGGTGGGCCCACATATCTGTTTTTGATTTTGGTGCCTAAAGGTTTGTTGGCAAGATCTTTGTCTTTATTTTAAGTAACTACGGTTCCATTACTGCAGTCAATAGATTAATTTTATAATATGGTGAGATTTGTTGATTAACTGATTTTTTAAATGTGGGCCCACCCATAAGAATCTCTTTAGAGATAAAAAATAAATAAAATGGGCCCATATTTCTGTTTTCAATGTATTGCCTTGTTTTCAAGGTAAGATCATTTGTCTTTCTGTTTAATAACTACGGTCAAAATATTTTTTTTAATGGTAAGAATTGTATTGATTTGCACAATTTTAAAAATGGGGGCCCAATCAGAAAAAAAACTCTACAAGGATATAAAAAAGTGGGCCGACATTTCGGTTTTCATTCATGACGCATACAGTTTTGTCGGTGATATCTCGTACTGTTTCATATCTACAATTAATTAGATGATTAGGACGAGGAAATGGCCTACCTTTCATGTCTCAGATATTTGTTCCTCACCACAAGATGCTGAGTGTTTCAGGACCCGTGAAGATTCCGGGGTAGAATAGGCCTTCAGCAACCCATACTTGTAAAAGGCGACTATGCTTGTCGTAAAAGGCGACTAACGGGGTCGGGTGGTCAGGCTCGCTGACTTGGTTGATGCATGTCATTGATCCCAATTGCGTGGATCGATGTTCATGATGTCAATCACTGGATTGTCTGGTCAAGACTCCATTATTTACAGACCGCCGTCATATAGCTGGAATATTGCTGAGTGCGGCGTAAAACAACAAACCAAACCGAACCAAAAGCCTTTTCCGACCCCAGAATCTTCACAGTTAGTGAAAAATAATGTATTACTTACAATGCACATACAAATTATTGAAGTCAATTGACTTTTCTGTGAATTTGGCAGTATTTGTGGGAATAAACATCAATTATTCTTGACCCAAAATTGTCCTTATATTTGCTGAAAATCTGGTTACCAAACCGGTAATCATGGTCATGACCAATGAATTGTTTTATATTTAATGAAAATATTCAATAATACATGCTTGTCCGAAAACATTATGCATTGAAAATTAAGAAGGATAATATTGCTTAATCATGTTAATGGCCCAATGTCTTGTCAGACAAATCTGAATTTGAGAACACAACCATATATTTGGAATTGTGATTCAGCAATGGCAAAGTATTATAACTAGTCATGAGGTAGACACTTAAATATTTGCGAAACATTAAAATATTGCTGGAGCTCTGCACACTCTGATGGCTGAAGCAGAACCGAGTGGTATTGGGTTCATCGCCCTTTACAGTGAGTGCCCTTTTACATATTTATTATTTCAGTATGTGTGATTGGTTCACACATATATTTTTTCAGTGTGTGTGATTGGTTCACACATTTATTATTTCAGTATGTGCGATGGGTTCACATTTATTATTTCAACATATATGATGGGTTCACACATTTATTATTTCAGTATATGTGATGGGTTCACACATTTATTATTTCAACATATGTGATGGGTTCATACTTTGATCCGCATAATAACAAAGTGTATGTTTTTAATAATGAAATGAGATGTAATGAAGCTTTTGAATTGTAGTGTGAAAGATTAGTCTTATAGACGTCGGTTTGATTCCGGTCAAAGGCAAACACATCGAGAATCCTTATTCACTGCATGTATTTGCTTTGTGAGTTAGTTTTCTTATTAATATGATATAAGTGTTCTTTGTTTTCTAACAAATCACTGGATTGTCTGGTCCAGACTCGATTATTTACAGACCGCCGCCATATAGCTGGAATATTGCTGAGGGCGGCGTTAAACAACAAACAAACTTAATGACATTGTAATAAATATTCTGTTTGCTTTCTTGGAATATGCTTACATATCCTTCTTTTACTTATATCCAGGAATGATTATTTGAGAATTCTTAGGACGATGGAGAAGGTGCGTGCAGATGTGACACACCTGTCTATAAAAATGGACAGGGTTTTTAGCCCGTTTGGATCAAATGGCAAGCAATGGGAAAGAAGTCGGACAGGAGCTCCCTGAAGATGTTTCTCTGCCTCTTGCAGACTTGACTGCTTTAGGTGAACTTGAACCCTTGCTTCAAAATGAAGCTGCTGCAAGGGCTCTGGGAAGTAAAATCGGTTTTGTAACATTTTATATTATACTGCTAACTAAAGTGCTAAGTGTTTTACTGTTAAATTTAAGACCGATAGTCATATAATTTTAGCAATATTTCATAACCAAACCTACTCTAATCGTCCTTGTATGGTATAGTCAGGGATAATTCTGGGAGGGAGGGGATGCTTGTGCTTTTAGCCCCTAAATTCTCAAAGACAAGGGGTCATTTTAACATTGTGTTGTATGAGCAAGTATAGGTGTACCTCTGGAATATTTGAAATTTTTAAGATAAAGGGTCAGGAAATTTCTAACGTGAAGTGAACCCTGTATAATTATAAAACAAAGATGCTTGTAGATACAGTCATTGTACATATCTGATCTCGTTTATTACTTTCAGTTGAAATTCCTTGTTGATCCCATATTGTTTTAGTTAGTTAAATCACATAACTTGATGGGAGATTTTTTTTCTCTGTAAGTATCAATTTGAATATAAATCAAAGATTTAGTGTGATGTGTACTGTATTGTATATTTCAAAACATTTTAGCTATATTTCGTTATGCTGTGAAAAATGATAGTAACACTACAATGCTTTGTGACTCATGGTATTGTTTATTCTGTCAACTGTTTAATCTAACCATAAGGCTGATGAAATTGCTTTGCAAAACCATTGACATCCCAATGAGTCCATTCAAAATCAATTTTATAACAGGTGCATTATAGGAAAATACCGATAAACAGGGCACTATCGTCATACTTGTTTTGCCAAAACCTGTATTAATATACCAGTACTTACACACTCTGCTACTCTATGATTACGAGTTTAGTCACAGAATAATGAATGCAGAAGTTACGGTCATCTCTACAGTTTCTGTGTTCAGTTATACCCCCGACAAAATGCCGGGGGTATATAGTTATACCAAGATTCCGTCCGTCCATCCAAAAACTTTGTCCGCGCGATTTCTCTTAAACTATTCAGTGGATTCATCTCAAACTTAGTACATATAATCTGTGTCATATGGAGGGATGCATTAAAAAAATAATAATTTAAATTAATTTTCCATTTTTTTAATGAATTTTTCAAACCCTAACTTACTAAGGCCTTACCCTATCCTAGGTATTTAATTTGTAACTACTGACACACCAGGCGGGTCGGGGGTATTAGTGAGCCACGCTCACTTTTGCACTTGTTTTCTTCTGATTTTATAACAAGTTGCATATAACTCTATGTCAGGTGTTTTGTGTACAGGTGTCTAGGCTTGGACTCATCGGTGGGGAATCAGTCAAAGATACAACAAGAATTATGACTTCTGTGGTTAGCCATCCACTGGCATTACAACTCATTGGATGGGCAAAGGAGAAAAAACAGGCTTTTCGACTCTGTCTTAAAGAAGTTATTTTCAGTAAGTAAAAGTTAACTCAAAGGGTCATATGTATCCCTCACAAAACTGACATGTATCATAATGCCATAATATGATATGGATACATTTGTATTTAATCATTGAAATATCCAAATATTATTCGTGACATTTATGATAATTTGGAAAAGCCAACCTATTAGGAGTATATGTACCGGTAATTTATTTCTATTTAGGCTTGTTAACTACAATTTTCTTTACTATCATTCTTACATGAAATGAGAATGTTGATCAGACATAATCATAACAATACAGCATTTTTGATAGAGACTCTTTGGTGACAAATTGTCTTGCTTTTTGGCACAAAGTCTCTTTAGACAAATCTGATTTTGAGAACACAACCAGATATTTTGGAATTGTGATTCATCTATGGCAAAGAATTGTAGCTAAGCATGAGGTAGACATTGAAATATTTGCGAAACATTAAAATATTGCTGGAGCTCTGCACACTCTGAATGATGAAGCACTGAAGGGTATTGGGTTCATCGTTCTTTACATTGAGTGCTCTTTTAGATCTGATACATATATTGTTTTAGCAAGGACAGGGGTTGAAAAATCTACAGGTCGGAGAGACAAAGCAATATTATCATTAAAAAGTCAAACAGACCAGCCGATTGCAATCATTGATGTTACAGAAATGTCTGGATTTGGTCTTACCTTGTTTCAATCGAAATTACCCATTAACAAAGTGCAGATGGTGTAGCTGTCAGTTCCTTCATACCAGATGTTGTAGCTGTGTCAGTTCCTTCATACCAGATGTTGTAGCTGTGTCAGTTCTTTTATACCAGGGGGCGGTCAGGTAGCCTAGTGGTTTAAAGCGTTCGCTCGTCATGCCGAAGACCCAGGTTCGATTCCTGATATGGGTACACTGTGTGAAGTCCATTTCTAGTGTCCCTCGCCATGATATTGCTGGAATATTGCTAAAAGCGGCGAAAAACCATACTCACTCACTCATTTTACACTTAATTGTATAGCTGCCAGTTCTTTTGTATCAGCTTGGGAAGCTGTAGAGCATTGAGCATTCAGTGCATTTACAAAGATGGTGAATAATAGCTGATTCACAGGTAATAACTTAATATTCAAGTAATGTTGAGGTATAATATTGTTGTGTTATGTTTCAACAGAAGCTGTGAGAAGAAATCCTGAAATACACAAGGCCACAGACAACGACATTGAGAAGTGCGCCAAGGATTGGCTCCGTGGTGCAAGTGACAGAAATGGGGCCCGGAAACTAAGATATATGCGGGCTGCAGCTGCAGCTTCTTCTTCTACTACAGAGATGCCCGAGGAATGAACTGCCGATGTGGTTATCTCATAAATAAATATTCTTCATGTAATCATCGTTTTTGGTGTCTTTGCATAACAATCAGTGATAAACGACAAATAATCAACCTGTTTCATTATCAGATACACAGGGTCATAACTTAACACTAGCCTGCTAGCCCGGGCGCTAGTACAATTCATGTGGGCAAGTACCAATTTCCTAATTATACCCCGACCATAAAGGGATGGTGTATATCGTTATAGCAAGGAATTCTGTCAGTCCGTCCGTCCTTCTGAGGGCATATTTTGTGTGCAACCTATAATTGGAAAATTACTACATATATACTTGAACACTTTTTTATACCTATAGGAGAGGTGCAGTGCGAAGTTTGATTTCATTACTTGGATTTTCTTACTTGTTTTCACTTTTGTACTCAGAATTTGTTTTGTTGACACATTTTTCCAGCCTTTAACTTGACAACAATTAATAGATTTTTTCCAAATTTGGGGAATAGATTTCATTCTCATTAGCTGAATTTCCTGAAAAAAAGATGATGTTTTTCATTTTGTGAACTTGGACATGTATTTCACGTCAACATTTGTGCAACCCCTAACTTAAAAAAAACTACTTCTTAGATTGTTTTCTAATTTGGGGTGCAGTTTCTATATCAATAGAAGAGTGCAGTGCAAAGTTTGATTTCAATAAGTGTATTTTGTTGAGAAAATATTGATTTATTTTTTTCAGGTTATGAACTTAGAAATATGTTGAAGTTGGGGTATTTGTGTTTACCCTTTGGCTTAACATTACAAGGACATATTCTATCTTTACTCGGGCTAGAAAAGCTTTTAAGTTAATAGTTCTAACCTTGTTACCTTATTAAAATCCTGCACAAGTCAGTCCGACACATCACAGATCCATAGTTTGTTGGTGATGTCATCTGCTTGCATGAGATGACTGAGTTATGTCCCTTGCTTGTTGCCATTTTGAATTTGGGGAGGGGGGAGCTGGCTTGGATTTTATTGTTCCTGTAGACAAAATCACAGCTCTCTCTCTCTCTCTCTCTCTCCTCCCCCCTTTGAGTATCAAATTGTCTTATCCCAATTGCATGAATCGATGCTCATTCTCTTGATGTCAATTCCTGGATTGTACAGACCAATGTTAAATAGCTGGAATAGTGCTGAAACCGATGTTAAACAGCAAACACACAATCAATCATACATCTTGTGAGAGTTGACAGTATATGTAATGGATTTTGGTGGTTTGTGAGACAAATATCCAGGTTCAGAGATTTTATATTCTGTTAGATGTAATTATATTATTACTCTGACAAATCTTATGAAATATATATATCTTTTTACTAATTCAATTGACATTACCTCAAGATGGTGTCTCATAACTGAAACTTTTTGGCTCATGAACTGTTGAAAAATGGTAAAATTTACATTCATACATAACAGAATAACCTCAAAATTCAAAATTGCATGTCCCTTTAATTGACTGTAACCCTGCAACACCACTGTGGTTAGGTGAAACCTTCAAATATGTAGGACAGAATCAGTTTTGAATGGTTCTCTACGGTGGAGACGTGAGCCACATAATTAATATGGCAATCAATGGACAGTGCTGATAAAGTTTGCAGATGTTGGGCTGATGATGTGCCGATGCAGGGCTGGTGCAGGGCCGATGCAAGGCCGATGAAGTTTGCCTACGCTGGGCCGATGATGTAGCCGACGATGGGCCGATGCAGGGCCCATGAAATTTGCCGACATTGGGCCGATGAAGTTTGCCGACGTTGAGCCGATGATGTAGCCGTAGTTGGGCCGATGACGTTTGCCGACATTGGGCCGATGCAGGGCCGATGAAGTTTGCCGACGTTGGGCCGATGTTGGCATGCTACCTGGGGAAGTACCGGTAAGCATTTGCATATTGCACATGTGACTTAACATGTGATAACCGGTGAAGCTGAAATCAATTCCAGTTGTTTTTACAGTTGTATTAACAACTGTTGGAGACGGTGTGTGTAAGTGAATGTTGAATAAACACGCTGAATGTGAAGCAAACATAAGCCTAGTTAGTTACAACATAGTTAATTGGCGATTAAATTACCCACCACTGTCTCTTGTTATTACATCATAAATGAATTATATTTTACTTGCACCAATCTGGTGTCGCACCGTGTAAACACAAAATGGCGACGTGTGCTGGAGTTACGCACGCGACCAATCATCGTAGAAAAAAAACAACACAAGATAAAAATATTTTAATTGCAAATATAAGGTTTGTGTGCGCACTTGTGATGTGCATCATTCCAGGTCGCTTTTACACGGAGTATAGGACTTTGTGTCGATTTTGAAGGCGTGTACAGGGGGTCGTCTTATACGTGGGGTCGCTTTATACACAGCGATATACGGTATCCAAGAACAGCTGATTTTCGAAAGTTTAACAGACTGATACGCACGGTAATGTAAAAAATGCGCCATCGGCGTAATTTTTGCGTAGCAAGTGGCGCACCATTATTTTTATTTTGCGCCAATGTCATAAATAATGCGTCATTTACGCAATTGCACACGCTAGATGAAACACTGTGTCACACATGAACTTGTTGAAAGTACTGAGAGAAAATGAGCCTATGGATTACAAAAATTTCTACGATTGGATGAAATTGCTTAATGAACTCCTAGAACTACTTACTCCATACATTCAAAAGAAGAAAACAATCATGAGAGAACCAATATCTCCAATTGAACGTCTATCTATTACAGTACGTTTTCTTGCGACAGGAAATTCTTTTGAAGATTTAAAGTTCATGAGCGCAATTTCACCACAGGCAATTGGAAGGATAGTGATAGAAACATGCGAGGCAATCATCATCTGTCTAAAATCTTTCATAAAGGTAAAAAAACACATTCTTTTCAAGTATTTTATTTCTTTAATGTGAAAAAAATGAATCAAAACAGAACGTAGATAATTAAGCAATGTTCTCATCGCTTAAGTGAGATTATTGATACGAAAGTAAAAACGAATACGTCCCACACAGGGTAATTTTCAAGAGGGTAATTTTCAAGTTTAGACAAACTTTTTGTCCATAAAAGTAAAAAACAATGTTGAAATCATCCCTGGAAATTGGAAAAGTATTGCGCGATTTGTGATTGGCTTGGATCTTGAACAGACTGGTAATTCATATCTGAACATGTGCGTAGAGCATTAAATTTCCTTATAAGTTCTTCCTTTGTTGCGTTTGGAAAGTATTCACGATATTTCAATAAAAGCTTTTCATATGCCAATTCCTTTTTTGTCATGTTACTGTAGTCATCACTCTTGACCTTCCAAAGGGCTGGCAATTCTCTGTAGACATCTATGCACTCAAGTAAGAATTTTCTTTCTTCTTCTTTATTTTGAGAGGACATGTTTTCTCTGTGAAGTTTGAACCCTCAATGAAATATTGATCAATAATATTGAAACTGACCACCAATGACACAATAATATTGAGGAACCTTCAATAACATTCTACAGTTTTGATTTCTTCAATATATTGTGCAATATCATTTTTTGCTTCAATACCTCCCACTTACTGTCAATATTATTGTCAAATAATCTATATTGACAATAATATTGTCAATTAAATTGATCGTGTATGGGCCACTTAAAGTCCAGGCATGGAGACAAAGGATGAGCGATAAGACTCCTGGCAAGTTCCGTAACTGCCCTTTTCAAAAAGGGCCACACATATATCATATCCCAAAAGAAAACTTAGCGACATGACTTGATAATTTTACTAACTGTGCTAGGGATTTGAAATCAAAGCAAAAAGATTGTCATGAATCAAATAAAACCAATCAGTCCTGGTAGAGATCATTTAAGATTCCTGGTTAGAATGGGTTTTTTTTTGAAAGCCTGATTTGACGGCAGTCTGGACCAGACTTTCCAGTGATTGACATCATGATAATCGATCCACATAATTGGAATACGATAACATGTATCAGTCGACGAGCCTGGCCACCCGATCCCGCGAGTCGGCTCCTACATCAAGCATGTTCAATTGGTCTTCAGCAACCCATGCTTCTTGCTGAAATAATGCGGATGCGAGACTTCCAGCCGGCTGGGAGTGACTGTTCAGTGCGAGGTCCGACCAGCCAGTCTATAAATACACACACGTTGACACACGGCAAGTGTTTCATGGAGTGGCCGGCTGTTTTAAGTAACATACCATTATGTTTTCACTGAGTACATGGTGATCTAGGGATTTTATTCAAAACAAAACTAACTTTCTGATTTTGTAGGGCCGGTCGGGTAGCATAATATTGTGGTTAAAGCGTTCGCTCGTCACGCCGTGATTTTGCTGGAATATTGCTAAAAGTGGCGTAAAACCGTACTCACTCTGATTTTGTAATGTATTTTTGTCAATAAATCACTGTATTTAAAAAATCTAAACCTCTCCAGGAAATTATTCATTGCCTGCCCACTTTTATGCCATCTTAATAAAAAAATTGAAAATTCAAGATACTTTGTTGAAAAAAATCAGTAAAAAAATATTAATGCTCATTGTTATATTTCTTTCAGCTGTAGATCTAGTTAGCTCTTGAAATATCTTATACTATCTTGAAAATTTAAGATTCTAACATTACTATGTTGAGAATTGAATATCAACTGGACTTCCTGAGGAATCACTTTCTGACGTCGGTCTGTAAAATAATCGAGTCTGGACAACACAATCAACTGATTGACATTATGAGCATCGGTCTTCGAGATTGGGATTCGATGACATGCATCAACCAAGTCAGTGCGCCTGACCACCCGATCCGTTAGTCGCCTCTCAAGGCAAGGTGTGAATGACATTCTTTATCAGTAAAATGAGTAGTTGAAAAGATATTTTTCGTTTCCACATTCATGAACTAGAATGAAGTAAATGGCATCTGGCAGAAACATTATATCCCCCGGCAATCAAATTCATGAAATGCTTGTCAAACTTCCCAATCAACATTGGTATCCTCTCAACACAGGCGAACGCACCTGTCTACAGTTTGTCCAAGTCTTAAAACCCGGCTAAGGGCCGCTTCCCCATAGGTTCTTGTCCGCCGTGAGTCGGGGCGACTGTAATGCACGTGCG